TAATAAAAAATGTTGGATAAATATTTTAGTCTTCAGATTATAAAATCAATATTTTTTCCATTTTAAAATATTCTTTTCCGAGTACTGTAATTTTAAATGAGGCTGCAAATTTTCTCTGAAAAGGATAAAAAAATGAATAAAGTATCTTTATTTACGAAATTATAATTGATATTGACTAAAGTGTCACGTATCAAAGTAATTACGTAAATTCAAAAAATAATCATAAAAAACTTTTACGCGACTTATAAAAGTCTTGAGATATTAAATCAAGGCTCGTCTAGGCCTCGTCGTCCAACACCCTGAAATATTTAAGAATCTCATAACGATCTTGATGATGATTCTCTTGTGAAATTTGATCCCAAGAGGATGAATGAATTCTCTTATGCAAATATAGTTCCTTATGGTTCTCATAATGACTTGATATGCTCAAGGAATACGAATTACAAACGTGAAAGTGTTTACATTTGTAATCCAATTATGCGGAAATATGTTAGGCTACGACTCCCGAGGGAGTCGTTTGGTATCCTAGCATAGCCACATGCGGGTTCAGGATAAGTCGAGTTTCTGCTGAATATAAAGAAGGTCGTCAAACAATTTAGACATTTGTCTAAGTTACCGCTCACTAGTTTATACATATTAACGGAGAGTATCTAACGGTGAGCCTTGTATGACAAACGGAATTGATAGTAGGACATTGAGAAGCTTAAAATTGCTTAGATGGTCATCGAACTTAGACATTTGTTTAAGCTAAAATTACTGCACGAACATCCACATTCACAAATTTGGAGAGTATCTAAAATCGCATGCGAAGACCCTCTCTCTTGATTTGTCCTAAGATAAGGATCTTATGTAATAAAATACGTCACATTGGAATAATGCTATATAAAATCAATAGTATTAAACTTCTATTTAGGTGCCAGTATATCGTATGTTCTATTAATAAATATCAGTGGTGGAGAATAACATTATTTATTATATTGAAATGTCAAGAAAAGCCTGTCGGCACGTCTGTTTAATCTAAGCAACGTCATGATTCTCACTCCCCACTTTTTTAGTTGGTAAAAATGGTTGGGACCACTAATTAATTATTAAGGTCCGACATTGTTTGTCAAAGCAGCATTGAAAGTTCAAGTCTCATGATGGAACTAAAGTTTGCGTTTTTAATAATTTATAATTTTTCTGATAGGGGATTACCTTTTTCTAATAAACGGCTAAAAATCGATTACGGAATATATTATCCTCATTGCTACTTATAAGGAAGATTCAAGATTTTTGGTGACCAAACTCACGGCTCGCCTCGGACCCACTTCGAAAAATTGAAAATGCTATTGCAAAAGTATGATTTGAGGCCGGATTGTCAGCTCTCTCACCCAATTCGATCGATCACTGTCATTTAAAAATATCAGTATTACTTTTTGTAAAGGTGTTTCATTGCCGACACTATCACCGCATAAGTGACCAATTATATTTAAGCAAGTGTGTCTTCCCATATAATCATCTTCAGATTCTATCAATTAAAGGAAAATGATGATGACTTAGGTGAACCTGCTGGACATCGAAATCATAGGCAAAATTACAACTTGATCTATTGATCTCGACGGTCAATTGAACTCATTTAACCCTTGTTTGAGTCTCATTTTTTTATCAAAATATATTTTTTAACAGTGATTTAACATCATTTCAATCACATATTTTTTAATAAAATAATAATACACGCAAACTCAAAACTTTTCTTTATTTTTAACCATACATTCTCCATCATAATACTATTTTAAAATACATTTTTTTTTTTTTATAGAAATGGGGCTCAAACGTCCCTAATTAGACAATTACATGTCTATCAAGTTCTATACTGTAGCATGATGTGACAGAGGGTGGCAAAGTATTGTTTAAGGGCCTAAAAATAGAGCAATTGGTTCCCTACGCAAGGGGGAACTCTCTATTACACACTTGAGAGTGATTATTAACAAAAATCATCTCCCCCGGCCCTCCCCCCCCGCCCGGGGAAATTCCAGCAATTCCCCAAAAATTGTCTCTAGTTGATCTTAATTTGGCATGTCCTTTTTCTGTCATCAACAAAGATTAAAACATATTTTTTTAAACAAGAAATTTGATTTTAATGAATTTGTTTATCCGTTCAGAAAAAAAATGAAATCACATTGCTGTTTGTCTTTTCTTTTCTACACTTCGACAATTTTATTTTGCTATTATATTGATTTATTTTGTTTTTGTTCGCTGGTTATATACTTAACAAAAAAAGTTCCAGTACTCGATTTCGCTCATTTAATCACTTAGCTTCATAACATGCCTTTGTGGGGGGAGTTAGAAGAGTTTGGTAATGTAGACATCATGAGCGTATACTAATCAAGTCAAAGACACTAATTGGTGACTAAGTTTAAATAAATATTTAAGTTCAATAACGATCTAGGCAAAAAATTTAGGGAAAGAAATGAAAATCATTGACTACTAGTGGCCACTAGAATTTACACTTGGCCACTATACTTTAATTTTGTCTCGAATTCACCTCTCAACTTTACAAAATAATATATTCAAACCAAAGACTCAACTTTGGATCCATTTTTATAACTCAACTTTCAATACGTACAACCTGCAACATCCTTGATAGTGGCGTGGTGACAAAATGTATATTAAGATGCTCAAGTCAAGCAGTATTAGACGTACTATTTCACCCATGTAAAGGGAATTATGAAGGGTGGCAACACCCATATGGCTACTTTTTTTTCTTTGTTTTTATGATATATCAATATCTAAATGTCAAATGTGCATATCTAAAAAATCTATCAGATTTTTCACGTACGTGTAGCATCACTCATGACAAGATATACCATTTCAATTGTTCTTTGTGCGGTCATCCAACCTTTGCTCTCTCTGTGTTTGAGCTCTTCTAGTCCTTGGATTTAGAATAATTGAAGTCGATTTGACACCACTACTTCCATCCTTACCTCCTTGGCAGCCCCTATTTCTCTCCCAACCCTATCAACTTTGCCCACTAATATTCCCTTCTCCTATAGCCTTAACAACCATTCAAATACTGACTCGTAGAACAAGTGATAGTGGACAAAAATGGACATTGACTTTTTAGGAAGAGGGGTGAGAGAGAAATATAATGATATGTCCAATTAAGCTCCTATTTGATCCCATTTTTCGTTAATATATATATAT